TACGTGAGGGATTCGCCTTTCCCCCTCCTCAAAATATCGTTTTCGCAGAAATCTGCTCCAAACTGTTGCAAATAACATCTTACTGCTGCAACTTCTTCAACTGTAGCTTCACAAGAAAACCCCCGTAGGCCGCTGTTCACCCAATGCCCTCGTTCGTCGTTCCCCAAACATTGGTGCGCATGTTATGCCGAAAAGGTAGCAATTCCGTCGATTTAAACGACATATTCTCGCTGTACTGGAAATGAACTCTGCTCACAGCCCGATCACCGTCGCAAAACTCCTTTGTGTTTTTCGTTAATCTGCTTTTCACGCCTCTCACTGTACAGCGTCCCATTTTCACAAATCGTTCGCGTGTCGTGTAGCGCCGAAAACATTTCTCCATCGATCCGCTAGCGCAGGGTAATCCGCAAGCTCATCCTCCTTTATTCTTCAGGGAGCGGTTGATAGCATGTATCGTACTACCACCCGGTGGAGATGCTGAAAATCGGGCGACCCAGCTAAGTCAGTCGAGGGATCTGTCTTCCGCTGACTCTTAACCAGCTGTTCCAAGTTGTTCTTCTTCCACTGTAATATTTCTCTGTAGTTGGTCCTTTTCGGTTCCCCGAGGAGACACTGAAGTAAACCCCGGGGGTAGGTCTCCGTCTTCCCCTGTTGATAGTGGGGAGTAATTTTCTGACCGCGGGAATAATTTCCTTGCTGGGAAATTGCTCTCGCTAAGCTCGTACAGTTGCTCCAGGGCAGACGAAATTGCTCCTCCAAGCGGGCAGGTCACGCGAAAATCCAAGGTTTGCTGCCCTCCGATTGCTCTGTGCTTGACCCCCCCTTGTTGCACGTGCAATTTTTGTCGTGCGGAAAATTCCAAGTGCATGTCTGTGAACAGATCCGAAGTCCCATCTTCATTTGCGTGTCCCCTGCCAAAAACGCCGAGCCTGAAGACGACAGTTACACTTCACCATGCAGCCACGCCTGCTACACGCGCTCTTGACAAAATCCTCTTCACCTAGGGATATCCACGAGCTTGTCGCCTCGTGACGAACTGCTCGCTCCATTCGGAAACCGATCCGAATTTGTCGTTGCTGCTTTCCGAAAATCACGAAACTGCAACCGAACTCCATATGCGAGATGAGCAACATACCATAAACACTCTTCAAAAACTTCGCTTTGTCAGGACCAATGCCACTTCCCTCGAGGGAAGGGTCGAGCGAATCCTACTCGTCCCTTGGGCTCAGATCAACAGTTTTCAGAAGCCCACGCAAACACAGTTATTGAAGCATATCATATCATGCTTGCTGAGAAAAACTCTGATCTTGCGAAGGCTACAGATGTCTGCTGAAGCGGCATATCAACAAAGTCTGCGGACCAGGGCTCCAGATTGGATTTTTAGCCACTCGTCATATCCGAGTTCCCTACCAAAGACAATCGTTAAAGTATGTTTTCGGCCCTAGTAGTCCTCGTCGAAGTCCGATTTCCGGCCAAAATCCCTCGAAATCTACGCTAACAGCCCATTTTCGAATCGACCATTCAACCCTCGGGTTCAGAGATAAGTAAATCCATTAAAAAAGGAGTTCCGGTCGAAAACGACCCATTAAAGTTTCAAAATCCGGGTAATTACCCGTCAAACATACAGTAGGCCCTGCTATGGACACGAGCACTGCAGAAAAGACCTATCGCCGAAGAGAAGATTTATCGACAAGGCGAGGCTGTGCGGGAAATGCTAGTGGCAAAAGAGCAGTCTCGTTGAAGTGGCAGAAGAGCGTTTCCGTCGAAGTGGCAGAAAAGCGGTTCTGTCGTAGTGGTAGAACAGGAGCGCTTTTTTCTGCATATGGCTTATAGGACAGGTGTTTTTTAGTAGAAGCAACCTCGTCAGAGTCGAGAGTGTACAAGAACCTCTGCCGAATTGGCATCTGTGGACATTCGCACAGGGGTCGTCGTCTGCGGAAGTAGCACGCACAATGCGCTTCTGCAGGCGTTCCTTTCGCCATACTCGAATCTCGAAAATGCGCTCCAACAGGACCTCGAGCCCTGGCGCAAGGACCCATTCGCGCAGAGTTGCTTCTTGTTGAAGTTAGGCATAAGGGAATTCCGCTCTCTCTTCTGCATTCGACCCCCTTAGCAGAGACGAAATTCGACAGAGGCGCCGCAGAGAGTAATATCGGAACTCGCGCTTGTGAATGACTCATTGGGCAGAAATCAGCACATAGTTTTCTGCTGAAGGTGGCGTTCAGAAATTGCGAGAAATTTGCAATTTCGTAAATTGAAGCGAGCGGGCAGACCAAACTCAAAACTCAAAGGTTTTGAGTTGTACTACGCACGAAAACAAACCTGACAAAAACACTGTAACCAAATACACAACCGAGGGGTGCGATTTTGAGATTGGGGGGAGGTGACGTGCTATGCGACCCCCCCCCCCCCCCCCAACCCAGCAACGGAACCAGCGATGGAACAAGCAAAGCCTTTCCCCTGCCACACCAAGATCCAAAGCTTTTGCCTTTCACTCTGTACTCAGTGGCTATGGCTCCTTCCCCGCCATTCTCGCTCGCGAGCACAGTGCTTACTGTTAAAGTATGAACTAGGAAGAACAAAGGAGGCCGCCATGAAATGGCGACCAAGGGTTTAGCTAGGAGCTGGACGAGAGTGTCGAGAGAGAAGAGGGGTAGACTAGAAGAGAATGAAGTACAAGAAGGGGGTTGTCCCCCCTACAGTAGGATGCAGTTAGTAGCATAACTACCAAGCCTACAATTATATAAAAATATAATTTGAACACACCCCCTAGGCTTGGTAGTGGCAAACCCACACAACCCACACACACACCCCCTAACCCCGGACACCCTCATTCTCGTGAGCAGCCGGGTATCGACCCCTCGTGCTAGGCTATGACACCCCCGGTCGAGAGGCAGCTGGCCGCATCTGGGCGGCCTCAATGACGACAGCGGCGGAGCTCGTGCTCAAGGCGGCTGTGTCGATGAGGACAGGCGGCGACTGCGGCGGCTGAGGGCTCTCGGCGGTGTGGCACGGGCTGGCGACGACCGGGCCGAAGACAGCAGCTACGGCAGGAGCAGGAGGAGATGCAGGGGAGGGAGAGGTGGTGGGGCTGCTGTGGTGGGGCTGCAGGACTTCAGCGCGGCGCCATAGGCGCGGCGCTTACTGGAGGGAGGAGCAGGCGGGACGGGGCCCAGGAGGGGCGCGACTGGGCTAGGAGGCACGGCAGGGCCCAGGAGGGGCGCGACTGGGCTAGGAGGCACGGCAGGGCCCAGGAGGGGCGCGACTGGGCTAGGAGGCACGGCAGGGCCCAGGAGGGGCGCGACGTGGGTAGGAGGCACGGCAGGGCCCAGGAGGGGCGCGACGGGGAGGTGGAACGGCGGAGCCGCCACGTCAGGGCGGCAAGCCCAGCACGGCTGCTCGACGTGGCAGCCATGCGACATGGCCGCCACGGCGGCACGGCAGGAGCGACGAACGCACGAGAACGCAGCGGAAAGCACGGAGGGGAGCAGGCCTAGGAAGGGCATCCCGCTCTCGATACCATGTTAAAGTCTGAACTAGGAAGAACAGAGGAGGCCGCCATGAAATGGCGGCCAAGGGTTTAGCTAGGAGCTGGACGAGAGTGTCGAAAGAGAAGAGGGGTAGACTAGAAGAGAATAAAGTACAAGAAGGGGGTTGTCCCCCCTACAGTAGGATGCAGTTAGTAGCATAACTACCAAGCCTACAATTATATAAAAATATAATTTGAACACTTACCTCCTATTGTGGTGGAAAAATGTGAAATAGTAATAGCAAAACCGCACGTAACCCTAACAACTATTTCGCAGCAAATCGCGCTGCATGCTAGTCCCTCACCAGCACGCAACACAATCACTCTAGGGCGCGCTATGCGAAGACCTAAAGAACGAGGCCAAAGGTGTATCCTTGCAAGCGCGCCAAGCACCTCACTCGCTGCCCGTTGCATATAGCGCGCATCTCGCTTCCCACTCCTGCTTTGCGCCGCTAACACCGTAAGAGCGATGCCCGCCTCCCGCGTTCCTTCTTTTCCGCCTTGCCTGTTGCAGCATACTATAATCGCCTCCCCTATCACCCGCATCTCGTCAAACCGCTTCCACGGTTCTCCGCTGATTTTCCTTCCAGCTTTGTTGCATTCTCGCTTCCCAACCCTCATCATCGTGGAAATTTTTTTGCAGCTAAATTTAGCACGGTAGGTTTTTTCTTCGAAAATGCTTCGGAAAAGCTTGAAGGAAAAGTCACATTTCTGTAGCGAGCACAGATGTGACGAAAGAGATGCATTTCTGTTGCATTGAAGTGACTGTAGATACGTGTCATGTTGTAATTGGTTTTTAAAAAAGCATTGTGTTTTGCAGCTGCCAGCTAAAGCTCGCCGAAATGCCCACTGTATTCTCTCTTCAAACGTGTTCGCACGGTCAAAAGCATTTTGACGCAGTTTGTACAAACAATCTCGGAGTTCTGGTCCAAAAATGTTGGCTGAATAACTATCGAAATTACTTGCACTTCGCGAAGTGTTCATCAAGAATAGCAACGACTAGGACGAATTGTAACTTCTGAAAGCTCTCGCACAAGTCTCGAACCTACCTATCAAATCACCAACACACATCACTACCTGGTGAGTCATACAAGTGGATAACAACCAATAATCGTCGAGCGGATTTGACGAAAATCTCGACGAAGGAACTGACTTGTGCGAAATTGTGAGCGAGACGAATCTGAGCTCATTGAGCAGGATTCGCTCAATTTTCTGACATACGTGGCACGTCGGCCATCATCCGATCTTGCAGGACGGTACTAACCAATCGTGCCCTATTCGAATTTCTCTGGCCAATCGCCACTATGCCTTATCCTTCCGAAAGTACACCCCCTGGAAACGTTACCAACCGCTTCTTTACCCCCCTAACCTCTTCCACCTCCCTACCCCAGGCCCTCCCCCCCAGCGATGCCATCCCGCCTACCAGCCACTTACCATTTCTACCAGATCCCGTTTCTCTTATTGGTTTCGCTCCATCTCTGTATCTCGTCCTCTTCTTTGACAGCGTGCTCATTTTGCCCTTGGCCTCCATTTTGTTTCTCTCATTGTCGTATACTCTTATACAGGCGTAGAAGCTGTTATTATTTATCATACAGTTTATCGCTCTTTGCTCGCCGTAAACGTGCTGCTTTTTTCCCTCGTGATATGTCTCGATATTTCGTTGTTGATATCTTCCGCTACTAAACTTCTCTTCTTTTCCCTCCCCCTGTCTGCCATTTCTATTGCATTTCATTGCCATGTTTGTTTTGTGCCCTTTCCGTGTTCATGCAGAACTTGGCTAACGGGTTTCTTTCGTGCTCGATGTCCACAGCTATGGTGTGTTCTACAGCAAAATCTTAACAACGGAACTCTTAAGCCGCTGGCTGGTATGGACCCATCATTTATAGCTCTCTCCCTGTCGGCTTAGTGCAGTGCAAATTTCAAAATGACTAACCATGCAAGTCATGTATTTAAGAGCGGCTTTGCAGCATGTACAAAGGTATGCATCAGTTGTCGCAATGCATTTTATCAACTGTATGGTGACGTTCACTGTCGTTTTTGCTTGTGCAGAAACATGATATTATATTTCTCGAGACCGCAAACCGTTGTTCAAAAATTTCAAGACCGCAAACTGGACATTATATTGATCGTGTTCATGTTACTCATAGTTAGCATATATTCAGGATTTAAGTGATGGGCATGTTAGTATGCTAACTTCATTTATGTGCAACTAAGTTGTGTTAAAATAACATTGATGGACCCAATGATTCAATCGTACCCGTATATCAAAACGTTAATGCTGCGGTTTTTGCAGCTGATTGAACGGTCACGATGAATTCTCAGACTTTGCGCTGCGTCAGATCTTAGCCAATAAGAGACGTTCGACATTTTAGGTCGGCGGCCAATCGTCTGAGGCCTTCTCATATCTACACACAATTTGCCCACACGACCCAGTTCAATTTTAGTGGCCCACATGTTCGTCTCAGAGAGGCTCCTATAATATTGGGGGAGCTGCGGCCACGTGGTGAACTAACCACATCACTTTATCGGCACATTATAGGGATGCAGAAGCAACGCTTTTGCATCTGAAATGTAACTTTTCTGTGACTCGTCTTGTCACATCCTGAAAGGGACTTTTAACCTTCACCTGAAAGCTACCCCGCATCCACATATGAAAAGTCACGGAAATGTCACATTTCCGTGACATTTTGCAGTTTACTTTTCCGCGATGATCGGGATTTCCACGTACCCGCTTTCCCCCAGCACGCAATCTCCCCTCCCCCCCCTTTCCCATCCTCAGCCCATCCCACATCTTTCCATCACCAATCCCTCCCTATCGCAGAGCCAATCCCTCCCTATCCCGTCGCGTTACATCACCTAGTACCTATCCCTTCCACGCGCTTGCCTTGTCTGCCTCTCTCCCATGCTCCCCTCTCCCATGGTCCCCTCTCCCATACTCCCGCTCCCCAATGCTCCCCTGTCCTGTTCTCCCCTCTCCCATGTTCCCCTCTCCCATTCTCCCCTCTCCCTTGCCCTCTCCCTGGTTAGGGGGGATCCACGCTCTCTTTGGGGGAGGGAGGAGGGCTATGGGAGGGGGGGAAGCAAGGCAATGGAAGGGGGGGAAGCAGGGCAATGGAAGGGGGGAAAGCAGGGCAATGGAAGGGAGGGAAGCAGGGCTATGGAAAGGGGGGAAGCAGGGCAATGGAAGGGGGGGAAGCAGGGCAATGGAAGGGGGGGAAGCAGGGCTATGGAAGAGGGGGAGCAGGGCAATAGAAGAGGGTGAAACAGAGCTATGGAAGGGGGGGAATCAGGGCAATGGAAGCGGGGTAAGCAGGGCAATGGAAGGGGGGGAAGAAGAGCAATGGAAGGGGGGGAAGCAGGGCTATGGAAGGGGGGGAAGCAGGGCTATGGAAGGGGGCTACTGAGCACCCCCCAGCGCTGCTGGGTGAGGAGGGCATTGTCATGCGCATTGCCCCTTGGTGTCAATAGCACCGGCCACTCCATTCCTCCGTGCATCCAACGAGACAGGTCCTCCCCCCCCCCATGCAGCACCTGCATCCCCATCCACCTCCCGTCGTATCCTCATCCATCCCACCTCCTCTCCTCTCCCCATCCCCCTCCCGTCCTCTCCCCATCCCCCTCCAATCCTCTCCCCATCTCCTTCCCGTCCTCGTCCCATCCCCCTCCCGTCCTCTCCCCATCCCCCTCCCGTCCCCTCCCCATCCCCTCCCCTTTCCTCTCCCCATCCCCCTCCCGTCCCCTCCCCATCCCCCTCCCGTCCTCTTCCCATCCCCCTCCCGTCCCCTCCCGATCCCCCTCCCGTCCTCCCATGGGGCACGTATCGCACGCTGTGGCTCCCTCATCACTGCCGCCTGGATCCTCCCGGTCTGCCCCATTTTCAGTCAGTGCCTCGAGGTGGCCACTGTCAAAAGGGGAACTCTGCAGGTCAAGGTGATGGAAAATGGGTCAACATCCTGGGTTCTCTCCTCTTGCCTCCTCTCCTCTTCCTCTCCTCTCCTCTCCTCTCCGCTACTCTCCTCTCCTCTCCTCTCCTCTCCTATGCTCTTCTCTTCGTCCTCTCCTCTCCTCCCCTCTATCTCCTCTCCTCTCCTCTCCACTCCACTCCTCTCCTCTCCTCTCCTCTCCTCTCTGCTCATTCTGGATTATTGTTTGCCCTGGACATCCAACCCTCCCCCTCCCCTTTCCTCCTGCCTGCTCCCATTCTCACCTCCTAATTCTGTCCTGTACTTTGAGTGTAAGAAGAGGTGTAAAAGACTAGAGGCCCCTGTCTGTCCCTAGCTAGATTGTTACGGGGTTTCCTAGGCTGTGCTGCACTGTCTGTTATGCTTTTTGCCTAAGAAAAACTGGCGCTTGCGCCTGCTCGCTTGCTTATGTTTCAAAACCCCAACTTTGCACTAAGTGGGAACTTGATCTCTGATATTTTTAAGTCGCGTGCTTCATTGTGTGATTGTCATCCTTCATAACTGTAAAAGTAGATGTGATGTGCTGGTTTCTAAGTCTGCCTTTTGTCCATATTATGAGCCTAACGAACTAACACAGTAGGTGATTTCTCCGCATAAGAGGTTTAAAGTTTTTTTTTTGTCGGAACTGTGCTTTTGCATGTTCGACAGGCAGCGTCGCCAGCCGTACCCTCGCGACCTCACCAGTTTTGACGAGGCCATTTTAGTCGTCGTGAGGCCCCTCGCTTTTTGCGTGGGGCGCGCCCCATTTTTGAACACCTGACGCACATTTCGTAACTGCGGAAATGTGCGTAACATCGGACAGTTTCACACATGAAACCATTAAAACAACTACTTCTAAGTGGGTAAAAATTACCAACTGTAATGAAGCGCAAAGAGCGTATGTCAAAAGATTGAGTAAACATGAAATAATACAACTGAGCAACATCAAAAGAGCAGGGAGCATGGATATAGTTAGCCTAGAGCACACGGTTGTGGCTCGGCAGAGCTGCGACGCGTGGTTCGTAATTAGCGCGAAGTGCCCAGATCTAGGCATGAAAACAAAAAGGCGAGCAAAATGTATGTGGCTCGTCAGGAGGCCAAATTTGGGTACCGCGATTTGAATTTCGTGGCAGAGCTGCACGTCAACCCCGTTATAGCAGTGTACGCCTTATTACCATAACCCTATGGTGGATGAAAAATTCACTAAAAAAATGAGTGGGTGTTAACAATGGCCCTGAAAAATATAATGCCTATGTGTTATGTAAAATGCAAAATGAATTCGAAGTCCTATTTGCCCATAAGGGTGCGGAGCGGCTGCTAACGCGGCAAGAAAATTTGATTTTCCCGTCTCCCCCACAATATCGTAACCCAACGGTTTCGATTCCCCCTTCCCCAACAATTTCGATTCCCCCTTTCTCAGAGTAAAAAGTTGACTAGAATGATAGGGTACAAGCGAATATAACCTAAGGTGTTGTACTCTATATGAGCATGCACCTATCTAGCCCATAACATATACAAAATATAATTTGACACCCCCCCTAGGCTAGACAAGGGGCAGCGACTAGCACGAGACACTAACTCAGGGTAGCACTACTAGTGCAACCTCTGAGGTAATGGTCCGAAAACCAAACAGCAAGAGTACAAACTAAACAAAGTAATCCAGGGCGACACTACTAGTCTAGCCACTGGAGCAGGAACCATAAGGCCAGTCAAGGTAATATAAGATATAGCACACAATCAAGGTCATAGCAAGTGAGAAGCTACAGGAACTAGACCAGGCTGGACACAGTGCCGCTGATGATCTTTAGGCACAAGCACCTTCGTAAAGATATCAGCTGTGTTGGCACCTGAGGTCAAGTGTACTACGCAGGCCTGGCGGCATTGCTGTAGCTCGTGCAGGAGGAAGTACCCTAGCTGAATGTGCTTCGCTCTGCCCTCCAGTCGAGGCTCCTGACACAGGAGGATCATGGCCCTGTTGTCAGCGTATAGGACCGGGGCAGAGCTAGGCCACTCACCTATGACTGTGAGCAAGAACGCCAGCCAACGGAGCTCCTGTGCCACCATGGCACTAGTGTAAATCTCAGCCTCACAGCTAGACTGGGCAACAGATGACGAGCGAGTGAACCTCCACGAGATGGCACCTGCACCAAGGCTAAAGCAGTAGCCCTGTGAGGACTTGAGCGTCTCAGTGCTGTCTGCCCACAAAGCGTTTGTGTACCCAATAAGGACCACTGGCCTACGTTCTCCTAGCACTAGCCCCATGCCCGATGTATTGTATCTGCTAGATAACGCAAAACCCAATTAGCGGCCGACCAGTGCTGCGGTCGGTGTCTCTCTATCGCCACAAAGTGAACCAGGATGTTGAGAGGATATGCGAGATCTGGACAAGTGCAAGTCATCAGGTACATGAGGCAACCCACCAGCTCTGCGTATAGACCACTAGGCTCTATTGAATCCTCTGGGACTAGAGCTGAGAGCCTATGATCTACTGGCAAAGGAGTGGGCTGTGCAGGGGAGAACTAAGGACCGAACCACTGAAGGACTTGGCACACCAGGTGTGACTAGGTGAGAGTGATGGTGCGCGCTGCTCTGTCCCTGGAGATCTGCAGGTCGAGGTAGCACTACAGCTCTCCTAGGTCAGTGCAGGTGTGTCTCCTTAGCAGCTCGGCCTTCACAGAGGCTAGTGCGTCTCTGTCTGCAGTGGCGAAGACCAAGTCGTCTACGTAGACGAGGATGTCGAACGGTGTCTGGCCTGAAAGAACGAAGAGCGAAGGGTCTGCAGAGGATGGGTAGAACTGCAGGTCAGCTAACGTAGCACGAAGAGTGTCGTGCCATTCTCGAGGAGCTTGCCGCAGGCCATAAACCAGGCGCCAGAGGTGCCACTCCATCCCCGGGGCGAAGGTGCTGGTGAAGCCTGGCGCGCGATGCAGGTAGACCTGCTCGTGAAGACTGCCCTGAAGAAACGATGTCGAGAAGTTGATTGAGTGCAATTTGTAGTCACGCTGTGCTGCTACGTGTAGCAGCGCTCGAAGAGTGGTCATTTTCAGGGTCGGGGCGAAGATCTGGAAGAAGTCAACACCCTCGCGTCGACTGAAGCCTCTACTGTAGCAACGTGGCGTGCCTTGAACACCGACGGCTCTCCAGGAGGGCGCATCACCGGGAAGAGCGACCGGCCATCAACTACGTTCACCCCGTGTGGGGGAACTTCGTCGACGTAGGTGTCGGTGGATCTCCAAGATGCCATCACCGCGTCCATGGCAGCTATCCACTGAGAGGCCCAAGGTCCCGAGGCTGCCTTAGCG